AAGTGTCAAACGACCGAAATAATTTTTGGGAGTTCTAGAGATATATCGGATACTAATGAACCGTTTGGTGGAAAATTAATAGTTTGGGAGGTATTTTATGTCAAGTATTACTAGTAGTTCCAAAACCGACAAAAGCATGGATTGTAAAAGCTAGCTTACAGAAGTTATACTTCTAGCCTCAAATGATAAAAGTTTCAACTGACAAGATTTATAAAGTAAGAACAGATCCAATATTCAGTGTCTTTTTTGCTTCGTGTCGGAAACGAAAAGAGCATCCAATAAAAGATTATTTGGTTCTTACTGAATACTTGGTTATCAATCTCAATGGTAATAGTAGTGCATTTAATAAGAGAATTATTTTTATTATTATATTAAAACGCAATTTTTGCAAATCGCATGATAGAATTAAAAAGATATCTTAGCTACCAAAAAATGAATATGTTGATCAACTAAATAAAAGGTTGATTACAAAATTTTATAGTAAAAACAAAATATTTTTTTGTTTTTGACTCAGCAGAAAATGATACCAATAATTACTATCAAGAAAAATGCTTAAATACTCTAATATCAAATGGCCTTCTACCATACATGTTTATTGTCAAGTATATTATTTCGTGCGTATGTAGTGTAACCGTATATATAATAGACTAAGTTAAAATTGATCTTCCATTGCATGTAGGTTTATTTTGAAGAAAAATATGTCTGTCATGCTACTGAAAAACTTAGATATGCTGAATAGCTTATGTAATAGCACATAGATGGTATATACAAGTTTTAACAATAACGGCATACATGCAAAAATTATGATACTGGTCAATGTGCTTCTAAGTATATTCTTTATCCCTGAATTCAACTTTCGTCTTTCGAAACTAAGGAATATCCTTTTAAATTTATGTGAAAATAATTTTTAGTATGTTTATGTTTTGCAAATATAATAAATAAAGCACAAGGACAAACATCCTAAATATTGGACTATATTTACCACAATATATTTTTTTTTTACGAACAATTGTATGTTGCACTTTCAAGAGGGATATCGAAATCGACAACAAGGGTTCTGGTTAAGGCAGAGCAACCAAAACATTAGGAAGAAATATACACAAAAAAATATTGTCAACAAAGAAATGTTCGTTAAGATACCATCACATTAAATACTTTTAAACAATAATATATAATTATCTTACTAACATGACAAAATGGATCATTTTTATAAGTTTTGATAATGTCCTTTTATTTTAAATTCATGTAAAATCCTTTATCTCCCTCCTCCTCCTCCCCCTCCTTTCTTCTTCTTCTTCTTCTTCTTGTATTATTATACATAAAATTTAGAATTTAACGTAATAATATTTTTCTGTATTTAGATGGTTGTTGCATTATTATACATGAAATTCCTTTCATTAATTAAGTTTTATTGTTCATTTATATAAATAAATATTTAAATCATCAGGTGTCATTATTAATTAACGTGCAATCATAGATACTAGTAAATAAAAAACCCTCTCTTTCCCCCCCAGTTTGGTTCGTTCTCCTTTGTGTTTGTGTTAAAGGTGTCAAACGGGCCGGGCCTACCCGTTACCGGACCGGCCCAGACTGGTACAAACCAGAACCGGATCGGCCCGGTTCATAAGGGGCCGGGTGGGCTGGGTAGGGGGGGTAGAAGGGGTTTGGTAGGTTTAGTTTTATTTTCCGGTTAACCGGACCCGGGTAACCCGGAAGGCGTGAACAGTGCCCATACCGGTTAACCCGGACCGGAACCGGCCCGGTTCAACGGTAAATTTTTTTTTTTTTATTTTTTTTGAATTTTCCAAAGCAGGTGGGGCCCACTATCCGTTGGCTGACTCAATTTTTAGAACAGATCCGTTGGCCAACGGATCTATTGAAGAAATGGCCTTTTTTTTTTAATTTTATGTTTTTAACCCTTTTTTGAATTTACAAAATTAACCTTTTTAAAAACTATAAATACCCCCCCCCCCCTCTTCTTCATTTCTTCACTCAAATTTCATATCTCAATCTCAATTTCTCTCATTCTCCAATTTGCAATACTTCAATTCATCATTTCATCTTCTAATTTTATTTGGCTCACTTTTCTTGAATTTAATTTATCGTGTTTTGTCATTCGGAATTTGAAGTTTGAAGTTTCAACTTTGAACAATTGAAGTTCAAAATTGAAATACTTGCTTGACGAGTTGACGTTTGTTCGTGGTAACATCGGAATTGCTTAATCAAGTGCTACTTTTATTGTCGAAGTCGGTGCACTCTCTCCAACTCTTTCTTTTATTTACTATTTTAATTGCATATTTAATTTTAGTTTATACTTTAATTTTTACAATATGATGAATGCTGCTAAAAGAGCGTGTAAAAAAGTTACTGGTAGGGGAAATAAAAAAAGAGATTGTCCTTCAGCATCTGGTAGTAATAGTAATACCCAATTTATACATGTTTCCGAAACATCGCCTAATGATAATATAAATTATGAACAATTACAAGAAGATTTTGGAATAGAAGATAATGAAATAGGAATGGAAGATGAGATACCAGCTACACCTACTAGTGTTGGAGCCGGTAGTGTTAGAGTTGGTACAAGGGGTGGTGGTCGTGGCACTAGTAGTAGACCACCTGTGGCTCCGACTACTAATCGTAGAAAAAGAAGTAAGGTTTGGAATTTTTTTGAAATAATAGAAGGTACTGATAGAGTTAGATGCAAATTATGTAAGGATACTTTTAAACATTTGACTGGAGGAAATTTAGGGGGGACTGGGACGCTTAGTAGACATATGAGAGTTGACCATCCCATAGAATGGGGCCTTGATGGTGATGACAATCAAACAACTATTAACCCTACTACTGGAGGTCTAGTGAAATATGATAAAATGAGGGATCGTGAGGAGTTAGCAAAAATGATTACTTTGGGTTGTCTACCGTTTTCTTTTGCTTCTTCATCATATCTTATTATGTATATTCAAAGGATTTACAATCCTTTATTTAAAGGTATCCCTAGAAGTACTTGTAGAGCTGATATCTTTAGACTTCATGGACAATATCAAACATACATACGTTACTTGTTTAGCCACCTTCCTTGTGGAGTTTGTCTAACTTCTGATATTGGCCATGCTGTTAATGGAAATGATTATTTGATAATTACATGCCATTGGATAGATGATACAACTTGTATGCAAAAATGTATTATCGCCTTTAAATATGATGAAGATCAGAGTCATACTGCTGCGTTTATAAGTAGTACTATTGTTGAAGTTGCTGAATTTTATAATATAAACAAAAAAGTATTGTGTATGTCTTTTGATAATGCTTCTAACAATAATGCCGCAATTTCAATATTAAAAATACATTTGAAACCACCTCTTGATGATATTTTTCATGTTAGGTGTGCATGTCATGTTTATAATTTAATTGTTAAAAGTGGCCTTGATTTATTTTCAGTTGAGATTACTCATGTTAGAAGAGCAGTTGGTGTTATTCAAGGAAATAATAGACAATCTAGAATAAAGGAATTTAAGAATAAGTGTGTCCAGTATAACCTTAAACCTAGATTCATGCCAGACGAAATTGTTACTAGATGGAATTATACATATATATTTTTAAAATGTTGCTACAAATATAGATTCCCAATAACTGAAGTTGCTAATGCGCATTGTACTGATCCAAGGCGTATGTTAACAAGTGATACTTGGGAGGTCATTAATGATGTTGTTAAATTTTTACATAAATTTTATACAGCTACTGTTGAGTTTTCTGGAGCATATTACCCCACTGTTACTATGGCTTTAGTACATATAGCTGAAATTTCTTTTCTACTATCTGAATTTAAGAAGAAAGAAAAATATAAGGATGTTGTTGAAAAAATGCAAGCAAAATTCAAAAAATATTTCTTTCCAATTCCTCCGATTTACTTAATTGGTGCAGTTTTAAATCCTTCTATTAAAATGTCTGATTGTCACCAATTAATGAATGCTTTATATACTTATATGGAGATTGGAGAAACTGAAACCCCAACTTTATATGTCTCTATGAACAAGCTAAATGAATATTTACAACAACTATATAATTATTATGCAAATGTATGCGATGATGCTGCTCGTGCTGTAGGCAATGTTAATCCCACTATGCAATGTAGCACTTCTGCTACTGTGGATGATGAAGAAGGCCTTGATAGTTTTAATATTTTTTCTACATTTTCTAACACTCAAACCAGTAGCAGGAACATTGATGAACTTCAATTCTACTTGCAGAAGCAAAAAGAGCCTCGCACAAAGGAATTTTCACCGTTGGGATGGTGACATGAGAATGGAAAACAATTTCCTGTTCTTTTCGCTATAGCTCGGGACGTGCTGAATGTGCCAATTTCTACTGTTGCATCGGAGAGTGCATTTAGCCAAGCAAGACAACAACTTGGAGACACCCGCCACTCATTGGGAAGCAATGCTTTGGAAGTTTTAGTATGTTTTAGAGATTGGATTAGATCGGAACGAAGAAATCAAGGAAAGGAAGATGTTGATAGCCCAGAAGACGAGGAACTTGGAGATATATTAACACATGGAAACCCATCCGAATTTAACACTCCAGAAGAAGGTCAATCGGTTCATATTGATTATGATGAACTTACTAAGGCGATGCAAAACATTTGAATTTACTACTTTACTTGTTGAAAAAAATGTAAACCTTTCATTTTGTAAGTTTGAAACTTTAAATTAAGAAATAAAAGTAGCACTTGCAATAAGTGCAATTTTTTCCCATCTTACTTGTATTCTTTATGTTAGTACTTTGTATTAATATAACTTACAATATTTATACTAAACCCGGCCCCCTCAACCCGTAACCCGTACGGTTCAATTTTTACCCGTATGAACCCGAACCCGTTAAACTCGTTAACGCACAACTCGGAACCGGCCCGGCCCGGAACCCGTAGGGGTCAAAAAAATTTTGGAACCGGCCCGGCCCGGTAGGCCCGTTTAACACCTTTGGTTTGTGTGCCCTAGAAAAAAAACTAATGGCAGACGTTCAGATGAGAGATGAGGAGGAGAAGAGTGGAGGGTTTGAGATGATCAGAAAGAAGTTGGAAGAATGGGACATTTTGCCCTACGAGTACCAACTTTTCAACAAGGAAGAGTCTCCCAATTGGCGCCACCCTTTGTTCACCGATAGTACCGCTAACGGAATGCTAGCCTATTTCTATGAGCAATGCAACTACTATCAAAGGTATTTTCATTATCTCTCTTGCTATTCCTCCTTCACTACACGCACGCCTAATTTTGTTAGCAGAGTGAGATATTATTAAATTGCTAAGCTAATCGGTGTCCATGACTCATGGACCATGAGGTGTCAAGTTCAAATCCCGGTGGAGGCAAAACACTAGTTGATTTTTCCCCATTTGTCCAAGTTTTTGTGGACAGAATTAGCTGGTACCTCGTAGAATTAGTCCCTAGCCCGAATACCACGATTATAAAGAAAAGAAATGGTTATCGATGAATATGTTAATGATTAGGAATATAAAGATTAAAAAGTGTTAGTAGTATAAGAGAACTAGTCACTAATATCCCCTTGGGCTTTAGTTCTAACGGTTAGAGCGACAACGTATGACGTTTGGGTTAGGCTCATGTCATGAGGTTCGAACCCTGCCGCGCGGACAAAAGTATGGTACTTAAGTGGAGAATCCACCGAGTTTCGAACTGTGGGCCTTTGGCGTTGGGGGATTTCTAGGTTATCAAAATAAAAATATAAAAAAAACTAATCACTAACATTGAATTAGGAAATTATAACAACATTTTTGCATCTGAATCAGATTTATTAAATGATCTTTCAACTTGATTGGCATGACTTTTATTTCATTAAGTTATACTTTCATTAATTCCTCTGCCAATATTATTATCGTTTGTATTTAGTTATTTTTGTTGCATCATATATTTTCTCACTATAGCATTAAAGTGCATTTGCTTCAAGCCCCGAAAACCTTGATACCTTTTTGATTAAAATTAAATTCTACCTGCTCTGAATTTGTCGATGTCCCATCTCACTTGACCAGTTAAGAAGCTTGACATCCACAATCTTATTCTTTCTGCTCTGATCTTCTCTGGTTGCCGAAATGCAGCTTCAAGTTCTCACTTGAGCCCACGATAGTTGATGATGTGAAGCTTTGCAGCTACTCTGAGTTGCAAGACATTACTGATTTCAAGGCTGAGAGCTTGATTCAGAAGACTCTTTCAGGAAGATTGTTTCGTGGCACCATTGGTGAAGGATCTGAAAAACGACCGGCGATTGTAAAGACATGGGATTTTCTCCTTCCTTGGGGGGATGAGCCTGAGCATCCCCACCGCCTACATAAATTTTGTGTATGTTTGCGAGATAGGTCTGAATTATTTTGAGTTAAATGATGTCAAGAGTTCTTTTTGTAGGACGAGATCGAGTTATTCACAGATGAAGGAGCAAATACGCATCCAAATTTGTTGAAGTTGTATAGGTACTGTTATGAGATGAGGCTTGCAGCTGTCTATGATGAAAAATTCACGAGAGTCTTGTCTGATGTGCTTCTGGCTGGTATTCATTACCTCGACTATTATGTTGAATGACTGTTCAGTCCGAATTTTCTGTGCTTTTTTATGAATTCTTTTTCTCGTTCGCAGATGACTTTGGGTGGGATGACCGGATAAAAGTGGCAACTCAACTTGCCGATCTTTTGGCATGGTTGCATGAAAAGAGAGTTGCTGTTGGCAGTGTTATTGCTTCATGCATTATGATAGATGAGGTTGAGTTTGAAACCTTGGTCGCCTTCTCGCACTTTTCATTTCTCTGAGATATTTGAAGTTTCTAACACATCATTACCTTACTGGCTTGCTGGAACCTGGAAATTGTTTTGGTCACTTTTCAAATCATGTGAGCGAAGATTGTAAAATTCCTGTTAAATATCTTGTCGGCAAGGATGCTCCAGAGGTTTGGGCAGGCATGTTCTCTCATACTTCATCATCTCTGATGTGTTCATGCTCTAGATTGAAGATTTTCTTTTTATTTGAGGTTTTGGTTTCATCAATCAAAATGCTCCACTTTTTCCTATGGTTATGTGTCAGAGCCTATGGTTAGTTATGAAACTTCGATAGAAATGATAAGTTTATGCATTGCAGTGTAAAAGATAGTTACACAATCAGATCACTTATTAGGTAATTACATGTAAATCTCTTGATAAATACTACTTAGTAATCTGGTAACTAACCTGCTATCACATGTTAAAATTCACCGGTTGTCTTTATGTTGTTAGTATATAGAAATTCTTCATAGTTTCTATCATCTTTTCCCCATTGTATGCATCAATCAAATTATACTAGAATTCTAAATTAAATAAACTTCTATGTTTTGAAACATGTATTGATGATGTCTTCCTTTCGAAACTTCCGTGATTGCTCTCCTTCCATATAGTCCATAAAACACATGCTAGAATGGTCCTCCAGATTTTCTTCATCTCTTTGTTCCCTTTGCAGCACAGCCAGCTACTTAGTAGCTCTTTTGTGGTTGATGACGTCGCCCACTTTATCACAAAAATGTACAGGAAAATATTCCAAATATTTCCGGTAACTGCAATGCAAAAATTGTACAGGAAAAAATTCCAAATCTCTCGTACAAGTTGGTATTGTTTGTAGTTTCTTATCTAGGTATCCTGGATTATATTAATTTATGATAATCTCTGTTGCTAGGACTGGGGTGCGGGTATCCGATATGGGTGCTGATCTAGAGAACGGATTCTTCATCACATAACTTTAGGACGGGTATGGATCAGACTATGGATACAGGTGCCAGGATACAGACAATAAATGTATATTACGACACATATAAGTATATATTCGAGTACTTAAAATTATTGATACAACAACAACAACAACAACAAAAAACCCAGTGGAATCCCACAAAGTTATTGATAAAACTAATAAAATTTGATTCTTTAAAAACACCTAATATTTTGTTCATGTAATAGCAAAAACCTCTCTTACTTTATATAACTATATATATGACATAAAACCGCAAAATCAAATCGACTATCCAATCAGTCTATACTTCTCGGTCATAGATGTAGTCAAAGCACCCACGGTGAGTTGACCAAATCCTGGGATATCCCACACCCACACTCTGCAGCAAGGATTTGAAGAGTCCAAGCAACATAGCTGATAACTATGTCTACTGAAGAGGTCTTGTGCCTTGTTCCTATATATTGTTCATTAGCGTGCATAAACTCCTCAGCTCAGCAGCTGACTCTGCCAATAACTTTCATATTTTTATGTTTTTGGCTGAAACAGAAAAGAGCTAGTGAAAAGAAGTCTGAATTTAGAATTATGACTTTTGAGCTTTCTCCCGTGGAGAATTTTCATTATATTTGATGTTTCTATTATATGCCATAATATTTTTTACATAATTTATCTGCTTTTCTCTACTAAGTGAAGTTCTGTTCTTGTATTTTCTGGATCAATACAGGTAAGCGGACGATGAAATCTGATGTTTATATATTTGGTCTTCTACTTCTGGAGCTGATAAGCAAAAAGAAGTTCAATTTTCGCGAGAATCCTGTGAGTGTGAGAAATTCAGTTGTAAAGGAGGCTACATAGTTCAGATTTGATTGATGTTATTGAGGTGAAAATCATATTCTAAGTATCAAATCAAATTAAATTTTTTACTATAATTTTCAATATGAAGAAAATTACTTTCTAGTTTAATATTTGGCTAGAAATTCAATAACTTCTTAACATGCGTATATAAATACCCATGACATTATCTTTTTCTATAAGCAACTTTTATTGAAAACAATTGAGCAATAAATTTTATTTTATTTTAGCAATGGATAAGGAGAAGAAGAGTGAAGGACGCCAATCAATTCCTATGGAAAGAATAGAAAACCCAGAGGGAAAGTAATTTGGTCAAAGCAAGTAATTTGGTTGAAGAATGTGGCGTAGATATAGGAATAGCTCTTTTTTCGCCCGCTGGTAATCCATTTTCTTTAAGAATGTGGCGTAGATAAAGAATGGCACAATTCTACTTCTGATATATCTTTAAGTTTAAAGGGATCTTTATATAAACAGCTGGTCGAATTCGCTGTTTACTTTTCCTAGCATATACATAAATTTTACACTAATTATATATGGTTATACACATAAAGGTCGTTTGGTAGCTGGTTAGAAGAACGGTTATTCATGTATAAGGGGTAACATAACTTATACCATGTTTGGTAGGCAATAGTTATTTTGTATAAAATTCTGCATAACTAATACCATGTTTGGTTGACATTTTTCAATTATGCATAAATAATACATGTATAAGTTATGAGTCAATCTGTGTATTATTTTATGCGGGGTAGAAGATGGAATAACTAATACATGTATTAGTAATACATGGATAAAATACTGAAATGACAAATTTACCCCTATCACTTTACACATAAGGCTTCCTTATTTCTCTGCCAACCCGTCAACAGGTTTCACTTGCTTTCACTTGCCAACTATATACCTTGTCTTCTCTCATTTTTAAAGAACAAACTAGCAAAAGCAAACTGGAGAAGCAACTAGAAAATGGAAATACCAAAACTAAGAAGTGAAAATCAAATATGTCTAAACTTCACATAGTTCAGTAGTATGACGAAGAAGTGAAAGTAACACCCAAAGTTCCTAACTAAATTGTTTCCTACATAAATAGAAAGAGAGAAAAAATAATGCAAAAGAAGGCCAGGGGTATAGTTGTAAACAAGCATTTTACTTTAAAATTTATATAATGTATATCAATTTCTAATACAACAAACCAAACATTCAAAAAAATAATCTCTGCATAACTAATACTTGATATCACACATCTGGTATTCCTCTGCATGAATCTGGAACCAGAAGAAAGGCCAACGATGAAGGATGTTTTAGATGCTTTGAGAGCACTAAGGGAGTGAAGGGGGAGAAACGAAAAAGAGATGAAAACGAGGCAGAATAGAATAAACTATCCTCGCTTTTACTTTTTGTATAGACTGAATTTCGTTAAGTGTAGTAGCTATAGAGTTGATTACTAATAGTATTAGTTCGAAAGGCTCGTTGGAATTGAACCACTACGGAATTAACATTTACACAGCTTGAACTTATGAATTGTACCCCTAATATGGTATTCAGTCTGCGGCTATGCTCCTTTGGTGGGGCTACAAAGATAACCAGGCCAAATAATAAATTTTTCACTCTGCACTTCTCGGCCTTTAGATGAGGAATGTAATTTTCGCTTTTTGGCACAACAAATTCAAGAATATAGGCACTCTCATCCTCACTCTTTGACTCCCCCATAGGCTCAGATGGCTTGATTAGTATCTCACTATCTAAACACAATGTAGAAAAATGATTGGAATGAGATTTATTGCGCTCTAACTCATGAATTTTACTACTATTTGCATCCCCATATTTACACACACTCAAGTCTCCCAAAGTAATGTTATTTACTCCCTCACATGACTCTAGAGCACTCTTCTCAATATTGGCACCCTCAAGAAAAACATGGTCTAGTGATTGCTATTCTCGTTTTAGCCCCTCAATTTGGTTTAGAAGATTTTTTTCAGCTTCACACAACTCATTATTAATTTGTTGGGCGTTACACGCATCAACCTTTGTGCTCAAATCTGCATCTAAGTTATGTACAGCCAAGCCAAAATTATCAATTTTATGTGCAAGTTCATCTCTCTCCTTAGACCAATCATTCACCAACGTTGTTAGAAGACAACGTCGTTTCGCATATTCGCCTAATCGAGAATATTCTTCCCAATACCAACCCTTATCCCATATTCAAATTCAGACCTCCAGGAGTTCAGGTCATGACAAGCCCAAAAAGATGGGCCATAAAAATCTTCCTTCAACCAAGAGTCTTCATCAATAACCTTATCTCCAAATATTTTATGCCCAGATGTCATGTTAAGAGAACTAGAAATACGCTAAGAGAAAAATCAAATAGTTATAAAAAAATAAAAATATTTACAAGAAAAGAGAAGAAAAAAAAACAAACCTTGTAGAGATAAAAGTAAAAGTCTAATTTAGAAAATAGTTAATTTCTAAGTCCCCGGCAACAGCGCCAAAAACTTGTTGCGGCCAAACACACATGCAAGCGCACGCGGTCGTCAAGTAATAAAGTGACTAAAAGTCGGATGTCGATCCCACGAGGACTTGTGATTAACTATTAACTAAATTAGACTATCCTGATTATCTAAACAAGAATTAAACCTAGAAGTATTTGATTCTAAACTAATTAAAATAAAGAAATATATATAATGAACTTTTAACAGAGAGAAAGAGCAGATTTTTATGATATCAATGTAATGAAAACGATCTAGGGTTATGGGCTATCTAACATTCCTATTGTATTCTTCAATTGAATTGACTAACTAATTTATCTAGTTTATTGGTTGACAGGGTTAATATTGCTCATAAGAATCTGTCGAGTTCTTACTCGCCTATTCAAGCTAACCTAACTCCTATATGTCTATAGAATTAGAATCAACAAGAACGCATTTATAATTCCTGTAAATTTACCAAGCAAGGCAATTAGGTATATGTCTATCCTAATCGCAAATCCGTTCCCCGAGGCCCAGGTTCAAGAACTTGCTCTACTCAATCCTATATGCAATCTAGAATTCCCACTTTCGAGTTCAATTCTAGATTCGTAGATAGTATTCAATTGGTGATCAAGCAATCAAATAATTAAGTGCAGGATTGAATAAATAAACCAATATGATAAACTAAGAAATCAGAATCAATATCCGAATAACAATAGTCATGAAAGAACCACAACCCTAGAACGTGAAGTTTAGCTCCACATAGACATGGTAGCAAAACAACAAATCATACAAAGAAACATAAAAAGACTAAGTTGGTGGAAGAAAAGATGAAACCCGGCCTCTACGGCGGCTCTGTGCTTTTGTTTTCCTCTCAAAAACGTCCTCCTCCCTCCAAAAATTACTCTAAAAACGTTCTCTCATGTATATATACCAAGTAGGGTTGGGACCAAACAATTATACCTTCTCCAATGTGAAAAAGGACACTTTTCCCGGGTGACTAGCGCGAGTTCGCGCGTCCTTCGCGCGTGACTTCGCGCACCATTCTGCCTCCAGCTCCTTAACACGCACGACTTCGCGCTAACTTCGCGCGTTCGCACATTTTTCACCCTGTTTCTTTCCGAATTTGGAAAAACATAAAACATGAAAGTTGTATCCCTTTGAGTTATCTTTCCAACCATATATTGTGGAGCCAAAATGGAGTTCTGAGCAAAAAGTTATATCTATTTTACTAGACAGTGCGCAATCTGCCTACTGGAGTCTTCGTTCGCTCTAACTATCATCCGTTGACCCCCAAACACGATCCCGGCTTAATTCTTTGAACTTTTACTCAAACTTTAAAGCTTTAAATCACTTGAATTCATTCCATAACATCTATATAGCTCGGAATCACTCCTACAAGGCATAAAACATATAATTAGTGCAAAACACTAGCGATTAAAGCTCATACTCAATTAAAGTGCAGTAAATTAGAGTGTAATAATCGACTAAAATACGTAATTATAGCCTATCATCAACACCCCACACTTAAACGTTGCTCGTCCTCGAGTCAACCAAAAATTTACTCTATCTATGAGCACTTAACATATTTGAAGCACACTACACCAATGATTATGGTTGATAGCAACAATTAAACTCTAGCATATGCAATCATCATACACTTCCCTTTACTTATGTCATTCTTCAAAAATATTCAAACAAAGACAATATGCTCACAACAATCCTAGCCTCAAAAACTGACTCAATGTCACAATGCACTCATGGCTTGAACACCCAACATCCTAGAGAAGTCTAATAATGTTACCTATCCTTCGTGAAACCATGTGCCCTCACAACCAAGGCAAGAGAGTAAGTTGAATCCACACATTCGAATCTCATGATCAAATATATTTTAAGGACTCATATATATCAAAGAAAATATCGCTCACCCTCACAAAAGAAGTCACATGCATGTAATTGGTACCATAGGCTTGCCCATAATGTAAATCTCTACTAATGTAGGCTCACTCGATCTAAAATCAATTAAGACTTTTTCATGGTTGTAATGTGGGCTAAGGGACGAGTAGGATATATTTAGGAATAGTGACTAACCCTCCTAAGCACTTTAACACACCACATAATCAACTTTAAGCGCAAATTCTTCAATCCCAACTTCAATTTCACAACTAAAATCACTCCCAACAATGTTCCCTCTTTCTTTAAGCACTACATTAATTCATACCCACCAGCAGGAACAAGACAACAATGTATTCATCTCTATATTTTTTTTTCCTTCAGATTTTTTTTTCAATTTCTGCTAATGGTGTATTATTTTACAAAACAAGTGCACCTTTCTTCCTTTTATTGGTTCCACTCAAAAGCCACCCCACTCTTAGTTCCTTCTTACTTCTTTTAGCACTCATCTCACAATTAAAGTGCTTTAAGAGGAAAATGGATCAAAACAATGTCACTTAAGAACAAAAAGGGTGTAGGCTTGTAATGTGGGTGCCAAATAAAAGTCTATAGGCTCAAAAGGGCTAACTAGGAATAGATTTTATTTGTGATAAGCAATTAAGCTCAAAAAGATCAAAGAAAGCCTAAAATCATTTTTCAAACCGAACATCACCTAAAATTTCGCTTCGACTCACAAACCGGGCAAGTTCTAGACACAAG